ATGTTTAATGCGGCACTCTCGGGTGGCTGGGAGCATGGTGAGGTGTCGAGAAAGAGACAGCAGGGAAGACCACGTGAAACCCAGAGACCATGTGTTTCTTTTCTGAGCAGCAGCCTAAATAGCCTGTGGGAGTGGTCCTGACCCTCCCTGAGGAGGGCTCAGTGCTTCCAGACCAAGGCAACTCCCAGGAGAAGCGGGCTTCCAAAGATGGATGCCAATTACATTGGAGAAGGAGGAAAAGGGGTATGGGGGTGACTATAGCCAAAATACATTGTATACTTACTTTGAAGCCGTCACAAACTAAATACAAATATTTTTTTTTTTTTTGGTTTTTCGAGATAGGGTTTCTCTGTGGCTTTGAAGCCTGTCCTGGAACTAGCTCTTGTAGATCAGGCTGGTCTCGAACTCACAAAGATCCACCTGGCTCTGCCTCCCAAGTTCTGGGATTAAAGGCATGCACCACAACCGCCCGGCCAAATATTATTTTTTAAAATATATATCTGAAGCCAGGCAGTGCTAGCACACACCTTTAACCCCAGTACTCAAAGTGGCAGATGTAAGTGGATCTCTGAGTTTGAGGCCAGCCTGATCTACAGAATTTGTTCCAGGGCAGCCAGGGTGTTATACTGAGAAAACCTGTTCCAAAAAACAAAAATAATAAATTAATTAATTAATTAAATAAATAAAAAATACACATCTGAACCATGCATGGTGGCACATGCCACCATGCATGTTAATTCCAGTGTTAGAGAGGCAAAGGCAGGTGGATGGATCTTCATGAGTTTGAGGCGAGCCTGACCGGCATAGTGAGTTCTAAGACAGCCAGGGCTACCCAGAAAAACCCTGGTTCAAAAAAAACTAAAAGAAAAAAAGAGAGAGAGAAAGAGAGAGACAGATGGTCAGACAGCTTTGGACTTAAGGTGTGGCTTGGCTGTAGAGCTCTTGCCCTAGGTTTAATCCTCAGTACAGTTATTTACTTAGTTAATTAGAGACGTGGCTCTCAGGATGTGTTCATTCTGAGCTCATCTATAAGAGCCCATAAAATGTGAGGATGTGGTCGCAATTCTATAATATTATCCATAGTTAAGTTATATTGGCTCAGCCCTAAGAGGATTGCCTGGACGTAGAGCCTACTATACATTGCCAGGCTTTCAATAAACTCCTGATGCGCGATAAATCAATAGAGTTATTTCAGATACCCAGTAGCAATGCGAAGTGATTGTGCGTTGTATACTGTATCTCTCAATGGGCTCTATTATTAATTGCTTTTCATATTGATTTCATTTTAATGTCTTGAGATGGGTATGTACATATATTATCATGGGAAGATCAATTGTGAGCAAGCCAAAAATGTGTTTGGAATATTTCCTAAACATCTTTAAATACCTTCTTTATCTCTTTGTCTCAGTATTTGACCAATTAAGTCTTAAATTGTTCTGTCCGACCATACAGCCCAGAATTTTTTTTTTTAGTGTAATTGCTGTAATACAAAGAAGGCATGAGTAAGAGGCAGAAAAATGGGGCTGCCGTCCAATCCTTTCAATGAGAAAATTCCCAGAAATGTGGGAACTCGCCGGAAATGCCTGGCTAATGGGACTGGCCATGCAGAGTCAGGCTGTGTGCCAGAATGTTCCCAATGGTTCCCACTGTTTGTGACAACTCCACTCTGGGGAACAAGGCCGCTCCCTCTAAGCCAGCAGCTGTGAGAGACACAGGGATGCTGCTGTGGCCAGGCCAATGCCCAAAGCCCCTTCCTCTCTAGGCCTTCTTGCTGACAAAGGTGCCTGTGATAAAAGAGGGTTGACCTTCCCATGCTTGGCATCACTGGGTTGTCACCTCCAGGAGGCAGCTCTTAGAGTGTCCTTGCATCTCTCTATTGATCACCTTACACAGCCGTTGCACCTAGCCCCCAAGGGGACACCCCTTGATCCATGATGCCTGGATCAGATATCAATAGCTTCCAATTCTAATTATTACCATTCTAATTCGGTTACTCAAAGGGAAATAATAATTCCACTGACAAAAGTCAGATACAGCATTTGAAATGCAGCTTGCCATTGCAAACCTTCCCCCACAGACTGGACAGTAGAGCACTTAGTTGGATTTTTCCCAGTTGAACCTGTGGCCTCTCAGGATATAGAGGAATCTGGTCCAGGAGGAATTTGGTGACGTGTGGAGAGTTTAGGTGCTCTCTGCTTCCGTTCTGGTGTGCGGTGCTCCAAGCAGGAAGTTCAGTACTTACTGTTAAAGGAACACTTTACCAAGAATGCTGGTACACAGCCACTTCCTCCATCCTTAAGAAAAAAAAATGCTGGAACACAAATCAGCCCAACAGCTGCATTCTCGGGATGCTTAAGAAAATGTTCATCTTTTCACAAGACTGTGTATCTGAGAAGGAAAGAGAGAGTGTTAGTTGGCCTTACCTTTGCGTGGTCCCTGGGAGCCTGAGCCCTTTGAAATGCTGCCCTACCAGGGTGGACAGTTCTTTGTGGTATACACACACACACACACACACACACACACACACACACACACACACACATGCATACATGCATAAATGAATGCACACACCCACACATGTGCATAGCATGAAGAGATGTGATCCCCGAACCCGTCTCTGTGTGTCCCCTGAACAGCAGATGTACTACTTTGTGTACATACGTGTGTCTCCTGCTCCCAGCTGAACAGCCAATCCTCTCACTGTTCAGACAGTAACTGCCCACGGGCTATGAAAATGAGCACTCGGACAGCAAAGGGGAAACCTGGTCCTCAGCTAACATGGCAGAAATTCTTCATGTCTAGAAGGAGCACCTTTGTCTTTTCCGTGAAAAAGAAGGGTTGGTTGTTTGTTGGCTACAGTACCTGTTCCAAAGTCTTGTACAAAGACAGACAGAATATGGAGCTTTTGCTTTTTACTTTGAGCTGAACGGTGCTGTTCACAGCTCCACGTGGAGTCTGTTCATTATTAAAAGTCATTTCTTATGGCATGGCTTATAATTTGCCACAAAATGATAACCAAGAAGGCCTTGATAAATTAATTGGAAGCTTCTCCTGAGGTAGCTCTGGTGATTTTGTTAAGGGATTTATTTTAAGAGGAACCCTCAGTAGAATTTATCAGTAAATTGCTTCATATATCTTCACCATTAAATTATTTCCCCATTAAGAAAATTATAATTCTCTTCTTCCCAATAATGAAAGAAAAATGAAACTATCTTCAAACTATTCTGGCTTGGATGTTGACCAGAAATTTTTGGAATGCCCCCCTCAAAAGCCATAGTGCATAGAGCTCAGAAAAAGGTAATGAGAAAAAGCAGAGATTAGAATTTCAAATTAATGCTGTCAACTGAAGAAAACTCAAGTAAGGGCCAAAGAAGGAGCTGACTGCTCCCTGGAGGAAGCTGATGCAGGGCGGGGGGGGGGGGGGGGGGGAGCAGGAAGGAAGTCTAGGCTCTCTTATTGGCACTTCCTGAAGTCTACAACCATGGAGACTGTGGTATGTTCCCTCACTGCTGAACAAAGGGTGAACCCTGAGAGCGGCCTTTCTGCCCTGTAGTCATCCTTGGGCTCTCGTGAGTCAGATGGACAGGTGGGAGATCTGTCCACCCCACTTATGTGGAGAGAAGATGTGGGCGAGATCTCCCATGTGTGGGCTAGCTGTGCTTCCTTTTCTCTCAGTGTAGCTTCTGTTTTCTTCTCCTGTAGATAGAAAATGCAGTAAGTCATCTGTTTACCAGGAACTCAACTGCAAGCCCGCGGTGGGAGCATCCCACCTCCATGTACTGAGCCAAAGCTTGTCCATGGTTCTCCCAGGTACTGGGGGGTTAAGTCCATGAGCATAGTGGTCTCTTTGAGGTCTTCAGTCATGGACCCCTCTGCAGTGCTTGGTGCTGTCTCAGCGATGAAGGTGAAGAACGAGGAAAGTGAGATGGTTAGGAGAGATGTTTTAGTAGTCGGAATTGGTTTAAATCTCAAAATGGATCAAAGACTTCAGTGTAAGACCAGCAACTTCTTAACCTACTAGAAGAAAACAGGGGAACACTTCAAACACAGGGCAGGTTGAGGGAACTCTGTCTCATCAAAAAATAGAAAGGAGAAGGGGGACTGGTCGGACAGAGAAAGGAGGTCGGCCGGAGTGGACAAGGCAAGAGAGGGTGATGGGGTGGTGAGTACGATCCAAATATATTATTTACATGCATAGACATGTCATAGTGAATTTTGTTATTATATGTTACTTAATTAATGCTAATTAATTTAATGCTAATAAAGCATTAAAGTAGAAGTTTTGAGACTAGATAGAAAATGTCAAGTGTTTACCCTGGTATCCCACCTTATTAATGTAGTGTAACTACCTACTTATAACTGTGATGGCCTATAAATCTGGGCCTTGACTTTACTGTATGCAGACAGTAAATTCTGTATGTGTGTGCATGTTCATGGATACTTCTTACTGATCATTCTGATGACTATAGTGATCTGTCTTCCCTAAGACTGGGGCAGCCATGTGTTCTCAGCCAAGAATGTCCTCAAACCTCCAGCCAGACCTTCTGCACCTGACCGGTTTATGTACTGCTGGGGTGTCTTCCGAGCATAAGCCAAAATACAAATCAGTTTTAAAACTTAAAAAAAAACCATAAACAAGCACAAGCTTGAAGAGAATACGAGCCAGGCGGTGGTGGCGCACGCCTTTAATCCTAGCGCTCAGGAGTCAGAGGCAGGGGCATCTCTATGAGTTCGAGGCCAGCCTGATGTATAGAGCAAGTTCCAGGACTGGCTCCACAGCTACTGAGAAACCCTGTCTCTAAAAAAAAAAAAAAAAAAAATGGAGAGAGAATTAAAACACTTGGTTTTCTCCTCCTGGTTCTGGGTGACTGAAGGTGACATCCGGGAGCCTGAGATATAGAGGGATCTAAGGCAGGCCTTGCAGGTCTGTGTTCCTTCCTAGTGCCTTCCTCCATGGGTGTGGGCAGCTCCGCTTAAGCCTGCTTTGTTTGTTTTTATAGATCATGCAGCAAATGAGTGACCATCGTTATGACAAGCTCACTGTGCCTGACGACATGGCGGCCAACTGTATTTATCTAAATATCCCTAACAAAGGGCACGTCTTACTGCACCCAACCCCAGAAGAGTACCCAGAAAGTGCAAAGGTAAAATCGGCATCTCTACTAGCTTCTCTGGGGGACCCACTCAGGATGGGGCCACAAAAGAGGTCGTCCCTTTTGCTCTACGTATCCAAACACTGGGACAGCGGGAAGGCTCGTTGAAAGCAAAGGGGCTGTTTATTTACTTCTCCTTCGTGCCATGCACACACAGTGGTAGGGATGCTGCTGCCTGCTACTCAGAGGTTTCCAGAGAAGAACGCCAAGGGTTGTGGAGATACCTTAACCGTTAGACTTCTGGCTATTGCAAGCACAAATCCCCGAGTAGAATCCTCGGCACTGTGCACAAGCAAGGTGTAGTGACAGCACCTGTACCCCCCTCGTTTGAGAGGGAGAATCAGGCCATTGGAAGTTCAAGCCTGACCTCAGCTATACAGTGAGAGTTCATGGTTAACCTGGGCTACACAAGACCCTCCCTCAAAAAAAATAAAAATGAAACAAAGAACTCCCTCCTCCTCCAAATCTATGCTCCAGCTCTCAGTGTGCATCCAGCGTGTGCCACCTTAAGCAGAGCCAGTTACTTTTCAAGGCAGAGGAGCAGAAGCAGGTTCTGAAAAGAGGAGACCACACATCCTGGTGTTAGGAAGACAGGGCAGGAAGGCATATGCACACTTGCAGTCAGCTGGAGTCTCTAGTCCTGGCTTTTTTCCTAAATGAAGGAAATCCCCTTTGTCTCAGGGCAGTCTTACGTCTTGCTACTTCTCTCTGTTTCATCATAGAGTATATAACCAGCTCAGCCCCCGAGTCAGGGGCTCGAACTTCTAGGCATTCTGAGCTCAGCTCTACCCAGAGCAATATGACATTTATAAGAAATGCTATAGAAGGACATTTAGTGATCATTGATTTTGCTTTTTATGTCTTATGCTTTGGAAAAAATGCAGCATTGTTTTATGCTATTTGTCTGAGTGTGTGGGGTGCATGTGTGGGTGTGGGTGTGCGTGCATGTGTGCGTGCATGTGTCATGCATGTGCTGGTGCCTGTGTGAGGTGCGTGTGTGGGTGCACATGTCATGCATGCATGGGTGCACTGTTATGCATGTATGGATGCACATGTGCATGCATGTGTGGGTGCATGTGTGCATGCATGTGTGGATGCATGTAGAAGCCTAAGGACAACACTGGATCTTTCCTCGGGGGCCACCTACTTTTTGGTTTTGGTTGTTGTTTTGTTTTTGTTTTTTGAGGCAAGAGTCTCTCCCAGGCCTAGAACTCACCAAGTGAGCCAGGCAGACTGGCCAGCAACTCTGGGATCATGCCACAGGTCTCCACTACCCCAGTGCTAGGTTACAAATGTGCATCACCACACCCGGTTCTTTCTACGTGAGTTCTTGGTAAAGGTCTCCATGCTTCAAGGCACTTGCTTTACTGATGGAGGAAAGCCATTTCTCAGTCCTTGCTCTACTTTTTGCATAGACAGGACTATATTAGAATATATTCATCCTCTAGTCATTAGTACCATGAAAAGAGGGTTGGGGGAATGGACAGGCAATTTTGTTCTCTTACCATAGCAGAAGTGTGAATCTAAAGAGAATAGAGGACTCCCAACCGGACAAGGACTAAAATAGCTCCTGGGTGAACCGCGGATCTTCCACTCTGCTGTGCTGGGATGGTTAGCAATGCAGGTTCCAGGGCTCCCAGCTTAGAATCTGCAATATGAACAAGTTGCAAGTCCACACAACCTACTCGGAAGACTTCATGCCTCCTCAGCCTCATTGATCACCTAGCAACCAAATGTCATTAACTGCCTCTCAGTTCAGCCCTGAGTCCATCAACAGTAGAATACCATCAGTAACCCCCTTGTTCACTGGGGTCTTTCTGGGCCAGACACTGTGCTAAGCATGCCTTAAATGTGCTCTTTAGTCCCAGCAACAGCCCTGTGGTAGGCATACCCCAGCCTTCCAGAGAGGTGCACAAGCTTAGAAGGAATGTCACTTAACTGGAATGGCAGTAGCAAGTTGATGGGACTGGATTTGGAACCCAGATGGCTCCTACACTCTAGCTGATGTACTGAATTTTAAGGTACATGATGTTTCTGAAAGAATCAGGACAGGTTGTTTTTAAGCAGTGTTTTCAAGTAATTTTGTTTTTTAAAGTGTGTGTTTGATCACAGGGGAAAAAAATCCGTGGACTGCTAATTAGATGTTTTGACACGTACTTTCCACTGTGGTTGAAAGATGATATAAAATTCGCACCTATAATTTAAACACAATGTGACCGGCAGTACGCACTTAACTCACATGCTGTCACATTCTCCCAATGGAGTTGGTAAGGAAAGGAACATAAAAGTGTAGACAGGGTCCATGAAAGCGAAGAGAGGGAGGGATATTCAAACTAAACACACAGTCGTGGAGTTTCGATTATCGCTTACTCTAGGAATGACAAGGACAGAGCAAAGGCAGCCCCGGGAAGAGCCGAGTTGGTGACGTGTCCTTCACCTTGAAGTTGAAGTTTAGAATAAGCAGCACCTGTGGCCAGAGCTCTGGGGTAGGACCATGGATGTATGTACTGAGACTTCAATGACTGAAAAGCAGAAATATATAAAGTGAATTAATTCTGTCCCTGAGAGCGGTGGAACAGGCCACACCGTAACCTTCTTTCTCCTCTCCTCTCTTGATTTCCGGTATCTGCAGGTTTATGAGAAACTGAAGGACCATCTACTGATCCCCGTGAGCAATTCGGAAATGGAAAAGGTGGACGGTTTGCTCACCTGCTCTTCCATTTTTATTAACAAGAAGGCAGACTGCTGAGCCCAAGAGTCCCTCCCTGGCGGCCAGCGAGGTGGCCCAAGCCGGGCTGATGACTCCGTACCCACTTCTCTGTTTTCCTCGACAATCTATTGTGCCACTGTGCTACTAACTCTTGTTTACAGAAAATGAAATTAATTCCAGTTTTAACGGCTTTATTTTCCATGCCCTTCTTCACCTCAGCCGTGGTACTTAACCTGTGGATTGCTAAATGAATTAAACAACCTAGAAAATACAGAACTAATGAATTATTGAAATGTGAGATTAATAGTGTGGGAACATTCGGTTTAGTGTTTGTTATTAGTGTGGAAATAGCTTAGTTGCAGGGTAGTCTAAAGACTGTCTTCCTGATCAGCAAGATAATCAAGGGACTTTTTTTTTCTTTTTGGTATCATAAATCACATTTGGTTCCTGTGAAATTCCCTGGCCCATGGATTTTTCCCATTCTCCTCTCTTCTAAAATCTGAGAACCTTTCTTCCAGGTACTTCCTTTGGCCATTCCCACTTCTTTCCAAGCCACCTTGACCTTGGATTTGTCCAAGGTCTTGCCTTGGGTACCTTCCTGAAGGTCCACCTTGGGGACACTTCTCCTCTGCCCCGTGGCCACAACTCCTGCCACCCGCAGCCCTCCCTTCCCCTAGAGAAGCACAGTGGGCCCTCAACAGAACTGTGGCCAAAATCAGAATGGCTGGTTGGGGAACAGGAACCTCACAGAGGCACCTCCTGATAGGGTTTGCAGGAGACCTGAATGCCGGGAGAGCTTGTTACCAGGCCTAGGAAGGTAAATTCAGCCCCAGGTGGTTGATATTGGATGTTAGATCAGGCAGCCTGGAAAAACCCCTTGGGACATCTTAGAAAGACTGAGCCACATGCCATGATTTTGCCTCACAACTGTCCCTACAGGAGCATGGAAGAAAGTCTTTCTCTGCCTCACCCCATCCCCCTTTCCAACTTCTTTCTGACTCACCTTGAATCTCCTTCTTAGAATCATTATGATCTTGAAAAGTCATTTCCTTGTAAAGAGGCCTAGCATCTAAAATGATTGTCGCTGGTTTTGGTAGGAGTCAGAGGGAGCTGCCTCCACCCGTGTCCTAGGAGCACAATCAGGAAATGGTTCCTAAAGTCAACCTCAAACAATGTATTAGTCTCCCTTGAAAAATCCATGAATGTTTACTGTGGAATTTGGCGGAAACTTTCCTCTCTAGCCTTCAGATTACACAACCTGCATCTGGAACAAAGCTGAAACAGGTCTCCTCCCAAGAACAATGTGACAGCAAAGGGGGAGGGCAGAGCATTCCTTTCCTTAAAGCTGGAAGACTCAGGCTAGCCAGGGGCATGGCACTTTACAAGGAACAGGGACCCAACCAGGCACTTTGTCAAACTTCTGGTCACTGCTACTTTGGCTGGGCAGCCTGCAGTTTGTCGTTCAGTGTTTAAAACTGGGAAGACAAAGAAAGATTCCTTTCGGATCTATCCCTCCTCATCTTCCTTTGTGATCAGTGGTCCTTGTCTTGATGAGCGAAAGAGAATTGCCTTTACTTCTTCCCCCCTCAGCAGATGGAAGAGAGTAAACCCTGTGGAAATCAAGACATTCTTTACTGCTATTTCTCTTTTGCATTATTTGACAACTTTCTGAAGAAATATGTTCCATCTCTTTCTTGTTGCCTAACTTGCACTCTTATCACAAACAAATATCTAACTATGTACATCCTGTGAATGAACCATATCTTGGTCACTATCATATTTCAAAACATCTCATCATGGATGAATAATATGTTTTTCCCCAGGCAAATGAAAATGAGCCACATACCCAAGTTAATAAATAAAAAAAAATGGTTCTCAGTGATTATGATGGCCCTTTGGGGTTAAATTTGGCTCTACACTGGCAAAAAAAAAAAAAAAAAAAAAAAAAAGACAGAAACTCTCTACCACAGGAAAAGCGACCCCTGAGCCAGTGTGGGCTCACCGACTTGTAATTGTCACGAGCATTCTGTCTATCATCCTGATTACAGAACTGTTCTCTGGGGTGTGGTCCATTACAAGTGGAGAGATCTTTCACTGTGATGCTTTCTTCTACCGAAGGTGGTTTTCCCATCCCCTTTTTGTTTGCTTTCCTCTTTCTTTGTCTGTCTTGGGAAATCATTTAGAATCTATGCCTCTACCCCATCTTATTCTGCTCCATCACATGTTGGGCTGGCTGCTTGGGGCTCCCTGTGTGAACAATGACACGGAAATTCAAAATACGTACAGCACAGTAGCCTCGCTTCCTTGATGTTTTCTTCAGCATAACATTGTCTTTGAAAAGGAAAGATGTCATTCCCCAAGTTCCCCTTTTGTCCATTGTGGCTTACAAAGGTGGAAACACTAGCAAGAATGCTTTGTGACGTAAAGATGTGAGGAATTATGTTTAAGTATAAATCGAGTTAGAATTATTGAGTCAATAGGATTTGGTTTAATGAAAAGGTGATCTAGAAGGAACACATTATTTGGCATTGTGTCTTTAACTGTGTTGGGTTGCTGTAGGGATCAGTGTCAGATCTCTCTACAATGTGTTAGCTGCTCTTATTTGCTGTTAGGAACCAATTGCAGGGCCATCATCTCTCCGTCTCTAAGAAGGGAAAATGAGATAGTCTAGTTTAACAGTGTGGTTTATGTAGGGTTGCATGTTAGCCTCTGTAATTATCCACTCTTTAACATGCTGCAGGATTCAGACTTGATTTCCATGGGGTGTCAGGTTTGTGCTTTTTTAATCTTCTTGCCTGTCATCTTCCAGGCAATGTATGGTTTCCCAGTCTGTGTGCCAAAGCCAGTCAGGCCCCCACAAGCCGTTAATCCCGAGGAGTTGTGCACCAGTACTAGTTTCCTGTCACCCGCTCCTAATGTATGCCAGTCATGACAGAATAAAGTGTGCATTGTGCTGTGCCCAGTGGTGTCCGGCTCTTCTTTCCCCCAGTTACTCAGATGGTCCATTTTAGTCAATGTGGCTCACTGGATGATTTATCTGTGTTTGTTCACGGTGGGAGATAAAGGGGAGTGGCAAGAGGAAGGTGGGGGGAGAAAGGGGGCCAGAGAGGATGCACATGGTCAAAGTTCATGATATCCTTACAAGAAAATGAAAGGTCCTGATGAAACCTATCTTCATGTACAGTGAATAGACAGCAATAAAATTGCTTTGAAATGAGTTTTATTTTTAATTTGGTTTACAGTTATCATTTTAAGGAAGCTTGAAGGTTATTTGTTACGAGGCTTTTGTAGTCCAATAACTTCTTTCATCTGAAAGAGCTATGTTTTATTAATTAACAATAACTGTTCACTATAGAAATAAAATCCAAACAATACAAAAAATGCTATTAAAGGAAGTAAAGATGTGGGTAGCAAGATAGCTCAGCAGTTAAAGACACTCACCACAGAAGCCTGGAAACCAGAATTCGGTCCCCAGGACCCATGTAGCAGAAAACTGACCCCAAAAGTTGTCCTCCAATGTCCACACTTGCAAGGTGGCATACATATACCCAGCCGTGTCCTCATGCGCACACAATGCTAATAATAAGATGTATGTAAATTTTAAAAGACAAACTACCCAAAATGTTGTCACCCATCGATAACTACTTTCAACATTTCAGAAGATACCACACATTTACGAGTAGATATTCGTGTAAATTTTGACTAATTTAACACCCTTGTGATGTCCTGGAGTCTTCTTTGCTCGGTAATAGATTAAAGGCATCTTTCCACCTCAATAAAGGCAAGTGTAAATCATCAGCTGCAGCATCCCCCAATATTTCACAGGCGGTTACAGTTAACTCCTAATTATACCGTTATATCACTCACGTCAGGTGTGCCGCATTGCTATCAGGGCTCATCCCACTGTCGAAACCAGCCACTTAGAGGCTTCCCTACAGCCCTGTAGTTAACCCAGCCCTACCGTGTGGGATGCTCCATGGCAGGGCTCACCAGAGGCCCAGAGCCGGCCTTGTTGTATTTACATGAATGCTCTACTATTTACATTCACACTGACATCACCAATAGGTCTAAAAATTGCTCAGTGCCAAGTACCATCTCTGCAAAACTGCTCTTGATCCAACAGAAAATTAAACCTACATCCAGCAACTGATGGAAGCAGATGCAGAGAACCACATCGGAGCATTGGGCAGAGCTGTCAAAGTCCAATCAAAGAGAGGGAAGAGTGAGAATACGAACAAAGAGGTCAAGACCATGATGGGGACACCTACTGAAACAGCTTACCTGAGCTAATGGGAGCTCACTCTCTAATTCTGGCCTGGCAATGAGGAAACCAGCATAGGACCAAAACTAAGCCCTCTGAATGTGGGTGACAGTTGTATGGCTGGGGCAGACTGTGGGGCCTCTGGCAGTGAGACCAGGATTTATCCCTATCACTTGTTCTGGCTTTTTGGAACCCATTCTCTTTCAAGAAATACTTTGCTCAGCCTAGATATAGTGGGGATGCCTTGGTCCTGCCTCAAAGCAATGTGCTAGACTTTGTTGACCCCTCAATGGGAAGCCTTACCCTCTCTGAGGAGTGGATGGGCGGTAGGGTGGAAAGTGCCCGGGTGGGGGGGGCATTAATGAACAAGGGGCTGTCGCTGGTGTCCCGACTGGGTGTTTCCAGGTCTTTTTCAGAAAAGCAATGATGTGCCCATGAGCAGCAAAAGTGCAAGCCAGATACATTGTCAGAGAACAGTGGGCTATCTGAACTGGAGCGGCAAATGGCTCCAGACTACTGACTGAGACTTTCTTTTATGGGTCCAAGAGGGAGAAGATGTGGTTGCTAAGGAGCAAGGCAGGATGACTTCACGTTTTGACCAACAGAGTTGGGTGACATAAGGATTTGTTCACTGTGCGTGTCTTTTCTTATGATGTGTCTGGTTTTAATCATATTCACTACTAATTGCATGTAGGTATAAGATGATAAATGGGGTTTTCCCCAAAAGATTCACTCAGAGGAAGCAGTCATCTAAAATCAAGTCCAATCTGCTTGGATCCATCTCGCTTCATCAATGGACATGTTTGATCACGGGAGAGCAATTACTAAGAGTGTGCTCAGAGGACCAACCTACTGCATTGTTTACACTGAGGTTTACCTGCAGTTCATGGTTTTCTGAAAGCAGGGAGGGGGGAGCACCCAGGTTGCAAAGTGCTTTGTATAAGAGGAGTGTGTGTATAGCTCAAACCGAGTGAGTGTCTGATACACGCTATCACCAACTTGACTTCCTAGTCCTTGTGCTTCCCAGGCTGGGGAGACCTAGGAGCATCCAGGGAGAGTCAGAGTCTGCTCTAACTTCAGCTGGTTGATGTGGGAGCTTCAGGGCTCCAAGCTGAAGGAGCAGCTCGGGCAGAAGCACAGCAGGAGCACACGGTGCACACTCCAGAAGCAGGTGTTCCTTATACATGTTGTCTCGACTGTGCTCTTGGGAAGGAGAGTCACAGCACCTGCCTTCAGGAAGATGGCATGCAGCAAAAGGCAAGGAAGACCAACACGAAGGCCATGGGAAGAGTGATGGGCATCATGAAAGGGTGCTCAGGAGCCTGGAGAGATGCTTCCGTGGTTATGAGCACTGGCTACTCTTCAATAGGATCCGGGTTCAATTCCTGGCACCCACGTGGTGGCTTACAATGATCTGTAACTCCAGTCTCAGGGGATACAGCGCCCTCATTGGCCTGGGCAGGTACTGTATGCTCAGGGTGCAGAGAGATACACATGGGTCCTAGGCACACATGCAAACAAAACAGCCATGCCTGTGCAATGTGTAAATAAGTCGAAAGAAAAAGTGTGCAGGACAGTAGGGCCAAGCAAGTAGATCTGTATGGCTAAAACTGATACGCGTAAGAGCCTGGGGAGACAGTGCAGGGTGGGATGCCGAGGGTCCTGCATGCCCAGGGCAAGAACTTGGACAGCACTTACTAGTCTGTTAGGGTTCCCCAAGGACATCTGAGTCACCCAGTGGCAGTCTTACTAGTGACAACTGGAAACTGAGAAGGGCTGGTGCGTCTCTGTTTGACTTCCCCGAGTTTAGTTTATTTAAACATTTCTTCTTACCGTCAGAGTGGAGCCCGGAAGCTGGGCAATTAACTCTTCCTCTATTTGCTCTCCTGAAAAAAAAAAATGAAAAAAAAAAGATTAATAACATCTGCCTCATAACTCCAAAGGGACATTTTCAATGCAAATAAGATAAAGGAACCAAGGGCTTCTTTGGAAGGGAGGTATAATGTAACTACCATTAGCATCGTCATCATCCTCATTAACTCCTATCACTGCAGGTTTGAATCCCATCAAGATGTCAACTTCCAGTTGAAGCATCAATCAGCTAATCCAGAAATAGCTGGGGATTTTCATCACTGATGCTGTCAACCTGACCTGACGGCTCTCATGGTGAATTCACAGGGGTCCTTGGCACGCGATGTGGCAGCTCCACCCTCCTATTCCACCGGAGAAGTAGGAATGTTCCTATCTCCCGCCCCCTATACACAAATATTTCTAATGTAGGGGAAGCTGGGCTACTTTTAGCACATGGTATCTGGAGTTATCGGCTGTTAGAGACCATTGGGCTGCCAAGTATGCTACGGTCACTATAAATAGAGACTCAAAGGACGATGCCAGGGAGACGCTTGGTAGAGCACAGCCTAGGCTGCCTTGTGACATGATGCCTGAAAGCTAGGGCATGTTGCTAGGTGCTGGGAGGCCCCTTCTATTTATTCGTAGATGCTTCAGGTGCTTTATTTTAAGTTCAGACAAAGCACTTTGGTGTGTTGACATGGACCTAAGAAGGCAGCTTGCTTTTCCCTAGCCTGTTTTTTTTTTTAATTTGAACTAAAAGACATAAATTTGAGTCGTATATATTTAAGTTTTATAACTTGATATTTTGGTGTACATATAAATTATAAAATATTTATGTAATATAGTTGCCATTTTCCCTGTATGTCGAATGTTTAAAATCTTTCATTTTTTCAAGACTTTAAGTATGTAGTGCAGTATTATTAGAAGTAATATAATAGCTATGGCTGATGTTAGCTGTGACCCTGTGTCTGATGTTAGCTGTGTTCTATAGCTGATGTTAGCTGTAACCCTATGGCTGATGTTAGCTGTGTTCTATGGCTGATGTTAGCTGTGT